CCGTCCTTTTTGAGATATCAAATCAAACATTGGGAAAAAGGGCACTCATCAGGCAACAGTACATGCATTGGCTTAGGATGTCTTGGCCTGGAACTACAAACGCGCCATGTCGATCCTTGGAATCAGTGGACAACCCTGCACAGGCATAAACCATGCCCGAGTGTCTGACTGTTGCAGATTACAAGCACAACCAGGAAAATCAACAGTGTGCCGCTGACTTAGAGGGCCTCGGGGGGTGGCCACCAGCCGCATTAGCCGTTCTGCGCGCTCCCAGCTGACCTAGGAATACCTACCTTATGCATACCTCACCCGGCGAAATGACTCGCGGCCCACACCTCCGAAGCTCCTACCAGGGCGAGCTCGCCGCACCCTGTGATGCCAAACGTGATATCAAGCACGGCCGCCACCCCCCCACCCCCAAACAAAAGAAAAAAGCCGGGTTGTCTCCTTTTAGGGGAAACCCCATTGCCCGGCCCGCCTTCGCTGGGTGGACGTCGCCCGGGACCCGCTTGAGACTGAGCCACTCTGAAACGTAACCAAAAAAAATATGCGCAGCACACTGTTGGACCCAAGGTGACCCCCTGGCTCAGAGATACCTTTCACGAGGGCATTGAAAGCCAAAAACCCGTGATGCCCTTCCAAGACAACTGACCACACCCAAACCTTCTGAACTTAGGCATTGGGCACTCAAGCTCAAGGATTGATAACCATTCTGCGCAATCACCTTGTTGCTCACACACCTTTGGGTGTTATCTTGGTTTTGGACCCCTAGTTGCCTTCTTGGGATTGGCCATTCTTAGTGGAGCACCCACCAAAGGAGAAAACGGGCACATCTGCTTGTTTGCAGGCACTTAAGCATGAGCGAAACCAAAAAAAAGGCAGAGACAGGTAAAGCCACAGGTATCCGTTTGTGAAAACAGATGGCCCTGGTAGATTAGGAAAGAACCAAAACAACCAGGAATCGCCATCTATTTTCTCACACCCGGTAAACCAAACATGCCACCAAAGGCTTGGTGTCTTGGCCCATGCTGCCGAGGCAGCGCAACTCGCTGGCTACTGGCGCCTTACTTTGAACAACCATTCTGCCTGGAAAAAAACGACAAACAAAACACGCATGGCTGCGCAACCTAAAAAACCAACTCTGTGTGTATAGTTGTCCAACCACTTACCGGCGCCGCCAACGGTCGGGCATGGCGTGGACACCTTTTACCGCGAGAGGGAGAGACACACAGCACCAAAGGTGCAAGTCATTCGATGAAGATACCCTCCCGTCCACCAACATGGAAGCCACTAGAACCAAGGGGCTCCCTGTCTAAGGGAACAGCTGTTTGGTTCAGTGACTTTCGGGGTCCGCTAAAGGACCCGTGAGGTTCCATGCGGATGGAAGGGTCCAAAGGTGAAACCGCAGGGCTCCGAAAAGCATCACGAACCCAAAAACGGGGTGTTGCTTGCGGGGAAATCCGCAAAAAACAAAAGTAAACCAGCCATTGAGTTTTCTTTCTTTCTTTCTTTTGCGGGGGGGTCGTTTTTGAAGACAAAGAACGAAAACTCAAAGAGCCCCGTCGGGAGAGGCCAGAGCAACGATTCGCCTCACTTTCTTTGAAAAGATGGCCGCGCAAATGCGCGAAAGCCTCTCAGTCGGCATCCTGGCCGGTCGTGATCCCGGCAACTAAGGGTGTTCTATGATGGTTTCCCCCACGCCGAGCCACCCCAACCACAAAAAAAGCCACTATGTAACTGCCTTTTGCACGTTCTTGTGGTTTGGGGTAGTGAAAGCTGGTTCAAACACACCTTTCAACCAAGCTTGATAGTCACCCTTTTGGGGTTGTGTGCAGAGCAAAACCAAAGGAAAATGCCCAAAACAGCTCCACACCCCAAACAGTTCAAAACCTTCAAACACCCTTGCTCAACCAAGCTTTGCTAGGGACACCCCCAGAAAGAAAAAGGCTAACAAACATAGCCGTGCTTTCGGCATAAAATAGCCGGCCGCGACCAATCTAAACCAGTGGAACCCACCTATGTCTAGCCAAACTAACCTAAAAAGGACACCTAACACAACACGAACCCTCTCAGCGCAACAACCCCTTGCGCGCCTCCCCGTCGGCGTCCAGCTTGTTGATGCGCAGCTGCACGCGCTGCTTGTCTTGCTCCAGCGCCGCCTCGAGTCGGAAAAGAGCGGGCAAACCTGGGACCAAAAACTCGCTGGTGCGATAGGTCGGAATGAATCATGTCAGAAAAGGAAAAATAATGGGGGTTCCCGAAAAATAAAGGAAACCAAATCGGGGATGGTTTATCTCAACATCCTTCCAACTCGTTCCCGCAACAAAAGTGACTGGACAGGCCGGAGATCCGCACCTTTGTTGCGACTGTCCCTTGTGTCTTCCGTTTGGAGCGTGGCCTCAAACGGCCCAGTGTGTTGTTTGAGGCTCAAAGAGTCCGAGAAAAGAAAGGTAGCTTTTTTTGAAGCTAATCAGCTGGAATGGGCGATCGCTGGGTTGAGATTCCGAGGGGAGGGTTCAATAATTACCGGCATTCGCCCATGATCATCAAACATGACTTGTTTTTGTACCCCACAACCCACTCTCACTAGTTAGCCATTTAAAGTAGAGCCTTTTGGAAGAAGCACCTGAAAAACAAGCCAATGTGAAAAAAACGCCCTGAAATTGCAGAAACAATTCATATGAGGTGGTTTCCCGCTGAAACATCCAAAGACACTAAGCTAGAAATCGGTCACTTTTCCCCAAGCTTGGCCTTGAAATAGTGGGTGTCCCCCTTCTTATGAGTCCGTCTTTGTTTGATGGTACCCTTTATATAAAGGGAAAGCCAAAAGGGACACCGGCCGTGGGTTCCATGTCCAGAAGGAGACAGGCGAAGTCAGAAGTGAGTTCCCATGTTTTGGGTTCTCCTGAACAATTGTTCGCCATTCTCTTCAACCATTCTTGTCAAAATGGGTGTCGTGTTTAAGGTTGGACCCACAAAATGGCTTCGGTGTTGTCTCTTGGTCTGCCTCGAAAACCCAAAACCATGGGTACCCTCAAACAAAGGCAGACCCAAATCCCGTCCTTTTCCCCGGAAAGAACGGGAAAGCTACCACTGAAAATCATGAAGTGCCATGTGGCGGGGGCGTGTTCATTTGAGGGTATCCTTTGAGGGCACGGGGGAACCAAAGGGAAACCGAAGCCCATATCCCATTTGAAGCTCAAGCCTGCCGACGCCGGATTTACACAAACCACTAATAGGTGAATAGATGTGTTTTGCTCCAAAAGTGATCTGGATCTTTTCTCATCACGGCGCACCCCATGGTTCCGCGGCAGCTTTCAGCTTCGGAACCCTCTAAGTTAAGCCCCTCTCCACGCACGTTGTGTTGGAGTGTTGGACATGGCTAGCAGGTGCGAACGAGAGAAAACGCACATCTAAGATAATGATCCAACGGTGAAGCGATGTCGAGTGTTGCGCCTTCCATCGAAACCCAACATCTGAACCTCGAGCTTCAAAGTACGCCCAAAAAGGCAGAAAGGGCCAAATGTTCAGCCAGCAAATTGATAGCAGTCAGGCAAATCGAATCAGATCATGAGCCACCGCAGAAAATGAGGGGTGCCCAACTTTAAAGGAACCTTTGGGGGGAAATCGGTCGCTTTCAACAAAGAAGTCCCCTCAGGATTGCGGCATCTCCCTGCAGGTGCGCCTTGACGACCTGCTCGTCGTTGACAAAGGCCGCTGTGGTGGCATCCATGTCCCCAATCTCCTCGAACCCAGGGGCGCGCGCAGTCAGGCCGCTGGGCAATCGTATGCATTGTACGTACATGCGCATGTGCGCAATCTACTCTCATTTACCTATATCACGATGCATATTCATCTGCAGAATGTGTGTGTGTGTGTGCACATGTACATATAGGCAAATTCATAGAGTCTCTGCATATGAGCCTCTGCTTTTGAGAATAGCTTTTCTTCGGGAAACCAAAATAGAAGAGCGCCTACCATTTCTCGGGTCCCGACACATAGCATGAATGGGTGCGTCTTTCTTGAAGGGTACCGTTTCTTGGTTTTTCATCAGAAAACCACTCACAACCCCGATAATCCATGTGGGGTCCCCAAAAAAGGAACCACAGGAACCTATCTCTTTTCGGACCGTTGCTTGGCTTTTTTGTTTTAATAAGGGAGAAAACCACTCAGAAATCCGAAATCCATGTTGAACCACCCCCCAAAACCGCCGAACCCCACGCACCGCGTCACCCAAAAACCGCCCAAACCCGCCCAAACCCGCCAGCCGACGCAGGCGGATGGAGCGATGGATGCCCAGCCTTCTGCAGCTTCCTCACCTTGTCCGACTCGTCCGCCAGGAGCCGCTCCTGCTTCGCGCCTCGGATCGGTTTAGCGGTTTGCTCGGTCGCTCGGCGGAAAAGTGGTGAGAAAAGCGGAGGCTCATACTATGGCCACTGAGGGAGGAGATTGGCATCAACTCAAGATTGGTCCAAAGAATTGTGCCAAAGGCCGTAGAAGAAATCAGAAGGAAACTCAAAGATGTTGGAAGGCCATGGATCACGGAGTCTCAATTCCCTAAAGGCTCCATGACACTCCCCAGCCCCAAGCAAAAGGGGTGTTCTGACCATGGTGGGTTCTTCTACTTTTCTGTCTCATAGCAGCAAAATATGCTTTGCCAGTCGGGAATGCTGACGTGCCCAGTGGCCATGGAAAAAGGACATCCCTTTGCGCTGGCTGATCTAAATGGAGCTCAAAAAAAAGAGAGGTTAAGACACGTGTGGGACCGCCCACATCGCTGGGGCTGCCGGAAACTCAAGACACCCTCGAGGAAAAAGCATGCCGCGAGCCACAGACCACCATTGGTTCACCACTTCAGGCCACCTTAGAAAGAACTGGGATTTACCTGGCCCATCAGTCTGGTCCATTTGGAATTGGGCCATTCCAATGAAACTGGCCATCCCTCTGTCCATCAATCCGAGCTGTGCCTATCCAAAGGGGCCTCCCAATCCTCCGGTCCGAGCTGTGTGGTGGAGGCCTCCCCCCGCGCGGCAAAGGACATCCAACCGAATAGCGGCCAAGTGGGGGTCTTTGTTTCGGGCCTCCCCCCCAAAAAAAACATGCAGTTTTGTTTCCCGTTTTTAGACCAACAAAAAAGAGGAGTACCCTCCCACCAATTAGCATGGAGCCTGCCGTTCGGGGGGGTCCTGCTTTGGACCATTTTCCGTTTAAAGGGACTATGCTCCCTGTCAGGTTCCAGCTGTTAATTGCTGGGAGGGTACCAACTCAAAAAAAGAGAGGAACCGAGCCCAAGTCTTGGGCGCTGCAGATCCCCCTGCAAAAAGTTTTAACTGTTTGCAGGTGAAAAGGAAATATGAGGGGTATCCCAAAAGTGAAAGTCTAAAGATCCAGCCCGATGTTCTTCCAGGAACCCCCGAACCAGCTCCAAAAGACAAAGCACGAACCACAAAGGTGTGCTTTCTTGCTGTTGACCCCACTGCAAAAACTTTAACTTGTGTGGGCTTTCCCCCCAAAAGTCAAAGTCCAAAGATCCAACCAAATAGCCCAAAAGGAGACATACTGTGGATGGACGAAATCCTGCACAGCCTAAGAAACCCTGGAATGATAATTCCCTTGTAAAACCCTTGGAATGATGGTTTCCCATGGTTTCAAAGTGGTGCGAAATGGATTTCGTCCATCCACAGTGCCTCAGCTTCCGTCTTGGATGTGTTGTTTTCTTGTTTTCTTCTGCCGTTGCGAGCGGCGCTGCTGGAGCTTCTCCTGCACCTCTAGGACCTGCCGCTTCCGCTGCTTCAAGCACCGCCGCACCTGCGCCTGCACCTGACACCGGAAGGAGACATTCCCACGGTTCGTGTCCTCCGGTTGTCCGGCTTTGTGGTTCCAAAGGGAAACCCAAAAGGACAACCAGCATTTATGGTTTGTGTTTGTGTTCTTTTTTGGGGGGGGTCCCCTTATAAAGGACACACCCACTGTTGCTCCTGTTTGTCCCTCTATGTTGTTGCGCATGTCATGTGGTGACCTGTTTTTAACGATAATGGTCCGCTTGCTCTTGCTGGTTTTGTGTGCTGCATCTCGCGGGTTGCTGTTGGTCTCCCTTTCGAAACCCAATTCAAAACGGGGCCGACCCCCTTTGGGGGGGGGGACCGCATTTGTGTATTTGGTCCGTTTGAAGACACACCAACCTCAACTACAACACGAACCACAAAAGACCACGCCAACCGCCCCAACAACACTAACCCTGACAACCACAACAACTTCGACATCACCAAAGACGATTGCCACAGCGGCAACAGAGTTGGCAGCGGGGTTACGAAGGAACCCACAACCAATCACAGGCCCCGAGCCTATTATTCCACCAGGCACACTCGATAACTTGTGCAGAAATGGGTGTGCTTTCTTGAGCGAACCCGGTTTCAGGTTGTTCCAGGGAAGCCAAAAAGAAACGCACCTTCTTTCTTTTTGTTTGGGGGGGGGTGGCAGGGGGTCCCGCCTATTTGAAGACAAACCCAGATCATGTCCGGGAAAGCTAATCGGGGAGGGGTCAGAACTTCGCCTCGGCGGGCTCGTCGCCCATCAAGGGCCCGCAGTCGTCAGGCTCCTGGAAAAACGGTATGGGTGGGAAGTTCAGGTGTCACCTTACCCCCACCACCCCACCCCAAAATATCTGCCATCGATTCCACGCAAGATCCTTTGGAAACGTTTCCTCTTTAAAGGGGTACCCAGTGGGTTGAGGGTCCGGATCGTGTTTTGTCATTCTTTCAGCGCGGAAACCGGGGATGGGATAAAAGGTCCAGGGAAGGAATGTTGGCCATGGATGTTGGGGTGCTCCTTAGGCTTGTTTCCGTACCCTCGTGGTCTTCTTTGAAGGAAACCTAACATGTTCAGATTTTCGGTGGGTTGTAACCGGGGGCTATTTACCTCGCTCACTGCTCGGGCCAAAAACAGGGAGAAGCGAAAGGATACGCTGTGAACAGCTGTGTCTAGACGGATGGAAGCCATACGGCTGCGGCAGTTCGTCATCCAAGCCGCGTTGATGAACTGTCAAGGTCACCGCCGAGGAAATGCTGAAGACAAATGACACCACATGGTCCAACCGTGAAACTTCAGGGGAGTAAAGACTGGCGAGAATGGCGAGAATGGCTAGAATCTGGGCTCGCTACATGTCTTCCTACGCGTTCCTCCCCCGAGCCAAAAAAAAGAGAGTCATGCTCAAAAGCTGGAGTTAAAGGAGTCTACTGTGAATAATCAAAAGGGCAAATCTCCTTCTGCTTTGCGCTGCCTGTCTACGAAGGTATCACAGAAAGTGGCAAGCTACCCCGCCCAACTTTCCATGAAGTGAAGAAAAGGGGGCCTTCCGGAGGTTCATAGCTTATCCCTTCCAAGGCGCTCCAGATCCAAACCAGCTCCTTCCAAATTCGCTGAGCTCGTTTCCCAACGAATGCTAATCAAGCCGCTCAGATTCCAAAGAGCAGCCAGAAACCCCGGTCCATTTCCGGCGGA